AGAAATGTGTGTTCTTCAATAATAACAAAGACAGGGCTGGCCGAGTGGTTCAGTTGGTTAAGAGCTTATTCAAGAGTGCGAGCTCTGAGCAACAGGGTCGCTGGTTTGAGTCACAGCCCAAGCTGAGCTGCTGCTGAGCTGCCAACAGGTGGCAGGGTGGCTCAGCTAAAAAAAAAAAAAATAATAATAATAATAATAATAATAATAATAATAACAACAACAAAGATGTTCAGTGGTTGATATGAGAAGAAGAGTTATTAAGAGGATTCAGATCATTTACCTATGAATTAGAAGTGACTGGATTAGATATGCATGGCAAAAACAAAATAAAAAAATAATAAAAGCGGGGTCACAGAAAAAGCAGGAAAAATATTTTCAACTAATATTATAGAGAACTCATGGCTATATTATAAAAATGAGGTACTACAAATCAAGAACAAAACATTAAACAAGTAGTTCATGAAAATAATAAAAACAAAACAACCTTAAACATATTAAAGAATGCTCAACTTCATTCACAAAAGAAATGCAAATTAAATCTATAGCAAGAAATGATTTTTCTCTAACTTATATTGCAAAAATTAGGAGGACAGCACACCCTGTGGCAAGACTGAGAAAGAAACACTCATATATTGTTATTAGGAAGTAAATGGTAACTGTTCCCCAATAGATGCCAATTTGACAATACCTATCAAAACAACTTTTTACTCTGCAACTCAACAAACAAGCCCACAAATTACCTGCACACAGGTTAAACTGATTTATTATACACAAATTTCATTACTGGCAATAACAAATGTCTAGTATAAAAATATTAAATGAAAAAAGCAAGGCACACACAGTGTATAAGGAATGCTTATCTTTGTGTAAGAATAAGGGAAGAAAATATTGCATAGTTACATTTGCTTATATCTGCATAAAAATACTGAAAGGATATATAAGAAATTCCTATATGTAGTTATCTATAAGACTTGTAGATAATAGTGTAGCTAGGACAGGGGAAAAAAGCAAAGCTTATCAATATATACCTTTTAAGATAGTCTCAGAGACACAGAGGAAGAACTGAGGGTTGCTAGTCGGGAGGG